ATTTACATTGAATATATTGCATTACCATAGCAGTGCAGGTGGGGAGCTGCGTCAGCATGCGTAGGCTGCAAAGGAACAAGTAAAGGTTTATTCCATGCTGAAAATTTCGGCCTTGGAGCCTTGACACACCTGAAGAAGGCTCCACGGCCGAAACGCTGGGTTTTCTCTCTTCTTTTTTTCAGCATGGAATAAACCTATTACTTGTTCCATCACCATAACAGGTTAGCAAGATTTTTGTTTTTACAAGGGTTATAGGATAAATCTTGTCTAGGTGTGAACGTGGCTCTATGCGCAAATGAAAATCCCTTACCCCGGTGTGAGTTACAAGTCGACCGCATACTTGTTTCACAAACACTTTTTATACAGCAGAAACGTTTGGGCTCCACAGAGGATTCTACAGAAGTAATTCCAATCCTTCAGGTTAAGTTTATCAGGCAGGATTTCCATCCATCGGATCCCGCCTGTCCGACACGAATTCGCTCCGCCACTCAAGACACGCAATACCCCCCCTCCGCCCCCCAACACCTCCTGTGATCGGGGGCGACAGACTGCGCCCAGGCCCCCCGGAAGGCAGGAGGGAGGGGGGGTGGTCTGGGCCGTACCTGCGGGGTAGGTCCTGAATATGGACTCGATGATGTCGGCGGTGAGGTTGTATCTGAGCCCGTTACAGCCATCCGTCTGTGGGCGGACGTCCGCCTGGAAGAGCCGACAGGAGAGGAGAGGGACAGTCAGGCCGCCGAGCTCTCCCCGGATCCCCGGATCAATAACTACCGATCGATTCGCCGGAGAGGAGCCGGCTTCTCCCGCTCCTCTGGGAGAAGGGGTCTTGGGACAGACGGCCGTCCTTCTATTCGCGCAGAAGAGCGGGAAGGAAGCGTCACAGGTCCCCCTCTCCCTCCCTGCGGGAGGAGGAGAAGATCTTCTCCGGCTCCTCACTCCTGTGTCACAGAGCCTGCAGAAACCCCCCTCCGGCCAGCGCGCTCGGGCAGCACGGCCCTTCGGAAAGGGGAACGGCAACGCTGTTCGCGCATTTCAGGGCTAGAAGGAATCAGCAACCCACAACAGAAGTGAAATGCAGACAGGAACTTGTAAAACCTCCAATTTACATCACAAAACAGATACATTTCCAGGCACTGGCAACTGCGATTCAGGTCGAGGCACCAAAACTCCCGGTGAGGTGAAGCAGCCCAATAACACTGTGAACCAGCAGGCTTGCGAACCCAACTCTTCTGATCCAGTGGAAATGTGGTTCTTGACATCAAGCTGGGTTTGCCGATAAACAGAAATGACTTGTTAACTCTGCCTGCAGATCACACGCACATTCCTGCAGTGAAATATCTGCTGCACAACCTGTATTTATTCACTCGGACATCACAGTACATCAGGCACAACAGGGACTAGTGAGCAGGAAGGGCCGCTTGGCGTCACAGTTCTGGTGAACTCGCCCACGGTGAGACCAGGGGCTTCTGACCACACGGCGACTTACAGCACTGTCACAAAATCCCGGTTTTGTGCTCCATTCAGAATTTTTTTTTCTCTATGCCATCAATAAATCTATTTTGGTACCGAGATTTAATGACAGGTCTGAGGAATTGGGACGGTAACAAAACGCATCTGAAACCTGGGAAGAGTTCTTCCGGACGGCGGGACCTCCACGATCCCCACGACTCCAGTGGCCAGTTAAACCTCTTACCAGGAAGGCCGCGGAGATGCCCACTTCCTGCTTGCTGCTGGCCAGCGAGTGGTCCACGGAGGTCAGGCTGAGCCGATTGGCCCAGAACTCCTCGGCGCTGATCACCTGACTCACAACCAGGTCCTTGTAGAGCTGGAACAGCACCGGGTCCTCCTGGAGCATTCTGGGAAGGGAGGCACACACAGTCAGTGCCTGGAAGGGAGACTCCTGGGAAAGCTGAGGCTGCTGCTGGGAGAAGTGTTACTGGGGCCAGTAGGGGGTGCTCACCCTGCGGTCTGTGTGGGTCCTAATGCCCCAGTACAGTGACGTGGA